ACGGTTTTGCATTTGTTGATTCTGACCCAAAAAAAGCACGTAATTGGCGTCTGTGTCATTCCCTGCAATGTCCCCGTTTTCGTTTCTGGCAAGCTTTGGGATCAAGCATTCGTCAGCCCATGTGGTAGAAGGCTCTTTTGCAAATTCGGAATATTCATATCCGTGTTAAAATATGCTTTTTGTCTTTTTCTGCTTACACATGCTTTTGCATTCATCCCCTTGAGGCGATGAACTAGGAGGGAACGCGCGTGTATTGCATTACCTAGGCGCTTACTTAAACTTATAAGCAGCCGGCGTGTTTGCTTTCAGTGGTATGAGCCAGGCTGGAATCATCTGAGACACCTGCACAGTGCTGCAGTCTTCTGTCCTCCAACTTTCGCAGTTTGTGGCACTGCACGGTCGTGCTAATTCCCCATTATTTCGTTATAGGACCTAAAAGCAGGGTGGCCATTAGCCTGCGCAGCAAGAAGGTGGTTCTTGCTACATCGAAAATTCGGGACATTCGGAAGCGTGGGACGACGTTTCCTTTTATTTTATTTAAGAGCGGTTTAATTTCTAAAGTGTTTTATCAGCGCAAGCGCATAAACCTTGAACAAGATGGGCTTGGGGTACTTCAGAAGATTCAGGTCAGGAAATGCAGATGTCTAGTTTGTAACCTGGCGCACCATGGAAATTCTAAGAGGAGATGAGCAGACAACATTTAGAGCGCTAGTTCATGGACAGGCCATACACGCTGCATTGGCACATGTGCGGCACCGTTATCAACGTCTCGTCCCTTACTTACTTGATTAGAAGCCATCATGAACATCTAGTAGTTATGTGCAGACAGTAGGCACTAGCTGTAGCCAATGACCATCCAGAGACAGTAGCTGAGTGTAGGCAGTGTGCAGCTTGTCTTAAACAGAATCACTGGCGACCAAGGCTGACGAGAGAGATCTTCAGCTTAGGAAAGTGGAAGGAGTTTAGTTTCGATCATGATTAGGAAAACAGCTATATTTTGCACCGAAGCAAACTGTAGAAGGACCGGTTTCCTTAGCCGCAGCTGCCATACTGGATGATTGGGACAAGGGTATGGCTTCGAAAACCACTGCGCCATCAAGAACATTACTGCTATCTCGAACCTCAGTTCAGAAACTCACTTATTGTGTGTGTTCGTTTATTTAACGTTTAAAAGTTGACCATTCTGCTTCACAATTATGAATGCGAGAATTTGATGTGCGGGCGCTGTGAACCAGGAACTGTCTGGAGCATATCGATAACGCGTAGATTAATCATGTCTCGGATGACGAACCAAATCACAAATGATCCAGGGAAAGTGTACATTCTGTTCTAAACGGAGCAATGGCAGTTCCATAGAAATACACACATGTGCGCACACACTCACACATGTGTACCTGTTTTGAACAGCAATTGCCCTCTTAGTAACCCTATCAGGATTTCAGATCACTTCTTCCGATATTCTCACCTGCTCACACACCCACCCGCCCGCACCATTTAATTCCTCCTTATTAATATGTCATTTTCACTATAGACAGCTGCTGACCCTTCTCACTGCCTTCCAGTTTTTCGTTTTTGCAAATCCGTGAAATGAATGCATTGCTTGACCATGATGATCCGTTTTCACGAAGTATGTCCTGATACCATCTTCTACGAGCTCATCGCATTTTTCGAAATCTACAGTCCCTGCTGTTCTTGGGATGTACATATGGAGTCGCATGTAGGCGTTGCTGTTACTACTGCTACCGCTAACTGATCCCAGAATACTCTTTTGTTGCGCTGCTCAAAGTATTTTGAATAATCGAGCTTTTAATGAGCTACGTCCAATGCGTTTTGCACTTCATGATTACTCCTTCATATCTTACAATACTTATTCTCATGTATTACAGTATGTGCCGGAGGCGCTGGTAAAAAGGAGTTTGTAAAGCGCTCGTCCACTGGCTTTGTTTCGAGTGTGGATAAAGAGGATGCTTGGTGTCCTTGATTCAACGAAGGATTCTACGGTAGCAGGAACATCCAGTGCTGTGTACGTTGGTGAGCGCCTCAAAGCCACTGTACAGTGCACGGATGAAGCATTGCGAAAGTTTAAATGCTCGGAATGCCCAAAAGCATTCAAATTTAAGCACCATCTGAAGGAGCACATCCGAATTCACAGTGGTGAAAAGCCTTTCCAGGTTTGTACTTCACATTCTTACATTTTCTCCCTCCCTTCAGGATTTTCCTTTATTTTCTAAAAGCTGTTTGACGCCGCTGCAAAACCCTTCCTCTGTATATGGCCCTCTATAAGTAGCACTCATGCATCTGAACACAATACATCATCCACTAATTCATTGCGCAATGCGCTAAAGTGCTTCACAAAACCCCGGCAGCCGGATTCAGATTCTGCTGCTCCACCTCTTCACATTTTTTTTCGTTTTTGAAACAAAACTTCCCATTCATAACTCACTTAGCTGTTCCACTGTTCTTTTTGTTCGTTTTGCTGGGGTTCTCGTGAAAACCATACAATGAATCGCTTCTCGCACAGCACCCAACCGATTTTTATGAAATTCGAAAGGTTCACTTCCTCTGCTTGAGCGCTAATCTGTCGAATTCATGTTCTCTTAAGACTCTACTTGTTTAGAGTTTATGATACATATATGTATAGGAATTCAACTATTGAACTGGTTTTCATAAAAATGAGTTGGATTTCCCAGATCAAATTACAAATCCGTGTATTTGCAATAAACTTGTATTTTGTTGGCTGTAATGATAAAAAATAGAATGAAGTGAGAATGAGGATAAATTAATTTACGGAATAATGGGCTTTGAAAAAAAGCACTGATGAGGCAATGGTTATTTTATCTAAATTCTGTTTAAAAAAGAACTTTTAGGATTTTTTGAAAAAGGGCTGTTTTGGATTCCTTTATGTTCTGGCGGGTTCAGGGCGGCTAGAATAAGTTTACAGCCCTTTCCCGCCACTTCTCCAACAAATTACTTTTATAGCTTGTTTCTCTGTGTTAGATGTTGCTATTCCTGAAATTTTTCTAAAACTTAGTATTTGTTGTCGAATAAGCATTTTGCGCAAGTGCAAGCCGAAGATAATGAGACTCCATCATGATGATCTTTTAAACCGCGCAGCGCAAATAAATTACTTTAAATGCACGTTGGCGACTCGTCACGCCCAGAAATTGTAAGATCAGCATCTGTCTGAAAACGATGTCAACAGTTCAGAGCACTGTGGGACCAGAATCTCGCGTTATAAACGGGTTTTAATTCATACTGTCTTGAAACTATAAATTTGACTTCGATTTGGCCATAGGTCAGGCTTTCATGAATTTTTGAAGCTGTTTTTAGATTACAGATGGGCATTATTTAGTGAAATAAGTTTTTTAAATTCTGAAGGTGAAGCTTATTTATATTACAGCGATGACACTGACCTAAATCCGATCTGGGATCGCACTACAAGTCTTTTTAGCCCTGACCAGATTGCGGCTCTTAAAACTTCTGCTCAAGCTTCGGCGTCTTAGCTCTTCCAGCTTCGGACATAACGGGCGGACAAGCACAGACACAATGCATTTTTATTTGTTTTGTGCAGAAATGCATGAAACTCATAGTGGCGGGAAATGAATAAGCGAGTAAACATGAACGGATTTCTTGGTGGCCTGTCGAGTTTCCACTCGCAGAGTGTTTATATGTGTGAGCGGTATGCGCTGCCGCAGTGTGAAAAGGTGTCAAATTGCGCTCGATACACCTTTTTGTTTCAGCAGCATGTACAAAGCACAGTTCATAGCAGTTGTGATGACGATTTCCTGGATTTTGTGGGTCCTTGAAGCAGAGCGGCAAAAAAATTAGCTATTCGTTTGTCAGTTCAGCAACACAATTTGCACTTGCAAATTAGACGCCTGCATTCAGGACAGTGCCGGTCCCATTGCCAGATAGAAAAACACTTTCAAGAATGCACCGAAAATCGCCATAGTTGCTTTATCCGGTCACCTACTAGTTCTGACCTGGAATTGTATTTTGGACCTGATTCGTAACACCACGAATCCGACAGATGCACACACTGGGCAGGTAGCTCGAGGGGCTGCTGTGTTCGAGTTTCATTATGGAGAAAGCGCTTAAATAATATGATTCACCGAGCTAACCAACCAAATACAAACAGTGTACTTGGTCGTAAATAGGATGCTGGACAAGCGCAGACGACCGCTTTTTCACCCTGACATGCGTTTGTGACAAATCATTCTCTAAAGCCCATTACTTTAGAGGATCTTTTTTACATGTTTTGCGAGGTATGAGCGTCTGCTCGAGCTGAAGCAGAAGGGGCCTGGAAGCGGGCAAGCAGGGTATTCTAATGAGTTACGTTTTAACAGCAGCATTTTCGGCCGCTCCTTGATGTTTGACATATCAGGCAAGCCTGCTTAACACAGTATGCTTTCATCAGCAAGTGCTTATTGGGATTCGGAAAAAGCGGATTGCCATATTCGCTGTAACAAAGAGATTCCCTGATCAACAAATTCGAGGAACCTGGGAATGTCCAGTTTCGCTGAACACCGAAACAACAAGCAGCGGTCTTGTGCAGTTTGAGTGGCAGGGAATGAGAAATGCCCCGCGGAAAAACAATTTGTGGCTAACGTGCTCGCGTTCTCTGCCTCGTCTGATTGATAAAAAAGCATCTAGGATGAGCCACTGCAGCGTGCTTCTGTCAGCCGTTTAAATTTATGCGTTTTTTCCAGCGTTTTTATGAAAATTTCCTGCAGATTTATGACCCTTTATTTTGGGTATCCATGACTCCACAGAGCAGCTAGCGTTGAAATCACTTTTGAACTCTTTAATGAATGCTGGGCCACTTGTCTGTCTGCATGTTAGGTACTGGAGCCAGATTTTTGTTGATGCGCCAAAAACTTGATTTTCTATGCATTAATAGTGCAAGGAAACAATAATACGGTCCGCAGCAGTCCGGTGCACTTTGTTGCATACATTCACTTCAAGCAAATATGGTCAGGAAACTATAAGACAGCTGAGATACACGTCCTATACAATGTGCATTCCCATGGGTAAGCCAGATTCTTTTTGTACGTACTGCGCCGTCCCCGATGCCAGACTGACGATTTTTGTAACCTGTTGATTTATTTTCTGTCATATTTTTGCAGAAACTGCATTAGAAAATGGTCTGCTGACAGGCATATTTGCCCAAATTATTTTGTTTAGCTGTTGAACTAGATTTGGAGGGTTCGCCAGACAACATTGCTACCATTTACAGCCCGTTACGGTTTGTGCCGTTCTGGCAAATGCCAGGTCATGTATTTGATTCGGTTTATTTTCGGTTCCCTTGTTCTGCTTGTCAGTGATGCACTGTTTTGCACCGCCGTCGGAGAAGTCCTGTTTAGTTTTACTTTCTTGTGTGTGACTTGACCGGCGTGGTACTTTCAAGGTCCATATACCCATGCGATTCAGCCAATAAGCAGGTCGGGATCAAAGTTTTCAGTCGTTAAAAAGTTTTTTTCTTCTCAAAAGGTCATCTAGGATTTCACAGTACCCCCACACGTTACGATTGATCTCACTGAGGTTGATTGGCTTTTTGCTTTCTGATTTTTTTTTTTATCCGGAAAATTTTTGCGCTTTGGGTATTTTAAGATTTATCCACTTTTCAGCGCAAAATCTTGTCTTGGCTCTGGGGTGTTCTGTTTGTTTCTTATGTCTGGTGTACCCTGCCTAAGTTAAACCAGGCAAAGAGCGCAGAAGTCAAGAAAATGGAAAGGACAACCAATTCGTGTATGACCCAGAGCACTGAGCATGCGTCAGACTGCTGCTCACTCTGTTGAATTAGTGGGGATAATTATGTGCTTAAACCGTGAAAAACCAGTTGCGAATATACAATTTATATTAAAAAAATTGTTATAAAACAAAATTCCGGCAGTTCAGCGCTGCCTGCATCCTCTGTGAGGGGTAAACTGGTGACAGATGAGCACAGAAACAGATCTGGGACGGTCTTGGTTCGATTTATCGTTTTGAGGAGAACTGCTTTCGAGAATCATTGTCTGATGAAACCAAAGCCTTATTTCAGACTTCATTTCGTTCTGGAGCGGTGGGTGCAAAAATGTGGTTTTGCTACTGATGCGTTCGCGCACAGCGCTAGGTAATGTTACCGTGGATGGTGTATATCCGAGGCATCGCTCGCCACCTACCGTACAGCTGCTTGATTTAGCAGTTCGTACATTTTGTGCTTGCATAGCAATTATTATTTGCATAGCGAAGAGGGAGTGGTGAGCAGGTGTGTATGCCTGCTCCCTCGGCTTCCTGCATACATCCCTCATTCATCGCACAATCCTTCCGTTTCTACCGTATTCTGGCATGTTAACCGCCCGCTTGAAAACTCGCTAAAGGGCAATCCCGGATGACCCCGAGGCTTTAATCCTGCGCCACCAGTGCTTGAGATCAATGAAACAGAGTTGTAGCTGACAAACATTTATTTACATTTGATGCGGTTTTGGGTATCATTCCAGTAACCGAAGTACTGTAACATCATAAAATAGTATATCTTTTCTGTTGCGCAGCTGCTGACAGTAACATTTCCTCTTCGTTTTCATCTAACTTCCTGACACTTCCGGAATATGCATGTTCTTTAAATCGTTCTTTGAAAAAGTGCACTACGAGTGGCTTTTTCCTTTTCCCGTCCACTTGCATAATTTTGTTTATCACGCCTTAAAAATTTACTCGCCATTTGATATTTTATTACTCTCTAGAGTTGACTGTGGTGCTAACCTAGGCCTGGGATAAT